GTCAGTTTGGGGTTTAGGGTTTTAGGGTTTAGGGTTTAGGGTTTAGGGTTTAGGGTTTTAGGGTTTAGGGTTTAGGGTTTTAGGGTTTGGGGATTTTAGATTTTAGGTTTTAGGTTTTAGGGCTTTAGGGTTCTAGGGTTTTAGGGTTTGGGGTTGTTTAGGGTTTAGGGTTTTAGGGTTTATGGTTTAGGGTTTAGAGTTTGGGGTTTAGGGCTTGGCAATCTTTCCGAGACATCGCATTGTAGGCTCGGCTCCTGTAGCCATGTCGGCAGGTTGTTGTACGAGTCCCTCGAGGTGACGTCCTGAGTACCAAGCGAGGGGCGCCTCACATGCAAAAAACGCACCAGGTTTTCGAGGTACTTGCGTACAGGATCAGCGCACCCACAGCTCCCCGGTAGTACCTGCCAGCCACATGGGGAGACTCTGAAAGTGAGTTCTTGATCGCAGCACAGCACTTGCGAAATGACCACATCCGGCGCACGACCGGGTCACTGCCCGGTATCTTTCCTGGAAAACAAAAGCCGCATCGAATCTAATGCAGGGGCCTAACTCATTAGCCATGCTACTTGGGGGGGTGGGGTTCTGTATTTTATATTTAGCATAGCCCAAAACCCCATTCAAATTAGTAATTAAGGCCCCTTACATGGTGGCATCCATGGCTTCAAGCTTTTGAGACGTGCTCAATTCAAGCTCAGGTTGCTGGCAGTGGACGAATGGCAAACCCCAAACCCTAAACCCTTAACCCTAAACCCTAAACCGAGCTCTCACGAAAAGAGGGGGTACCTGTCCCATGGTAGGCCAGATCTCTGCAAAAGACGTCACTATGGAGACCCGGACGAATTGCATGAGAGCCGCCGGTTTGGACGACAGGCCGTAAGGAGGAATAAAGACACGGGACACGGCTCAAGCACATAATGTAACGTAGGTAGGGGCTTTAACCATTAGAATAGGGTTGTGAGGTAGATTATCGTAAATTATAATAAGGAGCCCCCAAATTAGTATTGGCAATTATTTAGGCCCCGACATTAAATAAGTCTGTCTGTCACTGCGTGTGCGCACGGGCGCCCAGTCCATCACAAGATGAGCAGATCCTTTGCCACAAGATTCGGGGTAGTTCTATCAAGTCGGGTCCCCTTTTTAAGGGTTTAGGGTTTAGGGTTTAGGGTTTAGGGTTTAGGGTTTAGGGTTTAGGGTTTAGGGTTAAGTCCACAAAATGGTAAATTACGGCGCCCAAAGAAAAAGGACACTAAAGGCAGCCTAAACTAAAGAACTATCCAAGTGGCTCGCTAGCCAAAGCAAACCAAGAGAACCCAATACCCCTTAAGTACTTAAGGATTATATCTTAAATCAGAATATTAAGGCCCCTATAGCTTAGGGAGTATTCCTCAATTCCCTTATAGATCCCATTAAGGCACCCTTTAGGGAATCTTTATAGTTATATTCCTTAACCCGAAACCCTAAACCCTATTCCTTAATTAAGGTGTATTGGGTTCTTTGGGAAGTTCTCTGCGGGAACCGGCCTGGCCGGCAGTGTCCCAAATCCTGGCAAAGCAAAGCAAACTCCAGCTCGTATGCGGGTTTAGGGTTTAGGTTTTAGAGCTTTGGGTTTAGGGTCTAGGGTTCAGGGTCGAGGGTCTAGGGTTTAGGGCTTAGCGTTGACGGTTTAGGGTCTTGGGTCCAGGGCTTCGGGTTTACGGTTTGGGGTTTGGGGTTGAGGGTCTAGGGTTTAGGGTTTAGGGTTTAGGGTTTGGCTTTTAGGGTTTGGGTCTGGGGTCTAGGGTTTAGGGTTTAGGGCTTAGGGTTTGGCGTTTTGTTTGGGGTTTAGGGTTTAGGGTTTAGAGTTTAGGGCTTAGGGTTAGGTTTAGGGTTTAGGGCTTAGGGCTAGGGCTTAGGGTGTTAGGGTTAGGGGTTGAGGAGGGTCTAGGGTTTAGGGTTTAGGATTTAAATTTTAGGGCATTGGGTTCAGGGTCTAGGGTTTAGGGTTTAGGGTTTAGGGCGTAGGGTTTGGCGTTTTGTTTGGGGTTTAGGGTTTAGGGTTTATGGTTTAGGGTTTAGGGTTTAGGGTCTAGGGTTTAGGGCTTAAGGTTAGGTTTAGGGTTTAGAGCTTAGGGCTGGGGCTTGCGGTGTTAGGGTTTGGGGTTCAGGGCTTTGGGTTTAAGGTCTAGGGTGTGGTCACGTCATGGGTGCTCGCTGGTGTGCACACCCAGACAGCATGGCCGATCTTGGGGGGGGACCCCTTCCCGAGATATGGCTCTACTAAACCGGCGGGCTCCACATCGTGAAGGGTTGAGGGGGGTCAAACCTTTATGCTTTTCCAAATCGTGAAGGGTTGGGGGGTCAAACCCTTGTCCATTTCCAAATCGTGAAGGGTTGGGGGAGTCAAAGCCTTGTCCGTTTCCAAATCTGCAAATCAAGGCCGGATTTTGCCACGTTAAATTCTTTTCGCAAAATGTG